AATGCTCACAGACACCCTCGTCCTGTGAACGTGCCACCCTGCAGAGCAGAAGTGGGGACCCTGACACGGGCAGATGGTGCCAGGGCACGCGTGCAGCCCGCAGTGGAAGAGGGCAAGAGCAGGAGCAGCAGAGACGCGCAGCGAGATGGCAGGAGGCAGGAGGCGTGAGCCACAGCTTCGCGGCCTGCAGCTCGAGGTCCCGGGGCTGCAGAAGGAGCCTTCCCTTTGACCACTCCAGACTCCAGACTCGCGGGAACAGAAGCATTCTCCGGGCTGCTTGGTGGCAACGTGGCCCAGCAGGGCTGCCACACTACTGGAGCTCAGACAGCCTGGTGCCCGCCTGAGTGCAGGCCCACAGCACCAAAGGCCTGGCAGTGCCTCGACGATGTGTTCACACCCACCACCCTTGCAGGAAGGAGCAGCGCTGCAGGAGGGCACAGAGCAGCGGGGCGCACCCTCCGTGACTTCAGGGTCAGGGAAACTCAGTGCCAGAGACTGCAGCAGGGAGAACGTGGGGCCACGATTCACAGGGCGGCCTCGGCCAATCAGAGGCACCAGGCGCAGGGCCATCACCTCTGGGCCCCCTTGCACGGCTCCCACCCCTGGCCTGGGGGCTCCCACGGAGGCCCTCCTGTCCCCCTTTGCTGCACCAGCATTTCCTCTTCTGGGTCCCTAGAGAGGGGATTTGCTCTCCTCTCACGCAATGAAACGCTCCTCAGCAGGGTGCTGCTGTCTGGGTCACCCACGGCCACCTCACAGATGCAGCGGCCCAGTCAGAAGCTGGTTCACAATTTGTGCTCAGACAGTGGAGGAGACCACACAGGCAGAACTCAAGAGTCCTGGCTCCGGGGCTGAGCTGTAAGTGTGGAGACCAGTCCAGTTCAACCTTGAAACGCACCAAAGCCCATCGTGCCGCCTTGTCGCCAGCCTTTCCACCCCAAACATCAAGGCCATGCTACATACAGAAGCCCGTCGTTTCCCGGCGATCAGACTGGTTATGCTTTCCACACAGCAGCTGTGAAGGGTCACCTCGTGAGCAGTGGGGACAGCTGAGCACCTGGGGCCAGGAGCACAGTGGGCTCAGGTGTGTCCTTTAGCCAGGGACAGGCCATGGATCTGTGCATAAGGCAACTAGGGGACAGACTCACAGCGCAGGCCTGTTCTGCCGTGCCTGTGTGTGGCTTCCTTCCCCACCCTCCAGAGGTGGGTCCCCAACTTCAGTCTCAGCTGCAGGTCTACCCCACCTCCAGGTGTGAGCTCTGGGAAGCTGGCACAAGCCAGGGAGCCGCAAGAGGAGCCCTATCCCCAGAGCCAGCACCACTTGTCCCCACCCCAGCAGGGAGAAGGCAACAGGGTCCGGGTGGGACTGCAGCCCTCAGGGACCCAGCTGCCAACCGGAGCTTTCTGTGGTCTCATGTATTCTCAAAAATCCCGACACCTCAAGTTCTAACCCGACCAAAGTTTAGCACACGTACTTATAAAACCCATGGCTCTATTCTATTTGTTGTGTTTTTGTTTTTTTTTTTTTTGGTCTTTGGTTTTTTTATCTGGTACCAGGAATTGAACTCACGACCTCATGCTTGCCAGGCAGGCGCTGTGCCACTGAGCTAAATCCCCAGCCCCTAAAATTACTATGATTATTATTATTATTATTATTTTTTGTCTTTCTGAGACAGGGTCTCACTGTGCAGTTCAGGCTGGCCTTGAACTCACTTTGCAGCCCAGGCTGGTCTTGAACTCGCAACGATCCTCCAGCCTCAGCCTCCCAAGTGCTGGGATTACAGGCGTGCGCCACCCTGCCCGACTTACGCGGCTCTATTCTAGCTACAGAGCTTTCTTCTTGCAGAACCTATCAGGGACAAGTACGGGGCACAGGGCCCGGGACTGTTCCTCACCTCTCCTGACCCACATCAGCAAAGCGTCACCAGTCTCCCTGAGGACCCACAGCCTTCACCCTGCAGACAGGGCGGCAAGGGAGAGCTGACGAGGCGGAGCTGCCCACATGGCGCTGTCGGTTCTAACACTATTCCAACCAGCTCTCTCATGAATGAACTGCAGGCTTTCCAAAGGAAAGCACAACGCACATGTTGCTTCAGGGCTGCTAGGTTAGAATGCACGTGACCTTCTCCTTGGAAAACTGCTCTGAAGAGCTAACATGTCCCAGGGTCCCAGGAGCCGAGGAGAACACACCCAGCAGACGGGGTGGGTGGCTCTGGCTGGAACGCATCAAGTGCCCCAAATAATTCGCAGTGACTGCCTAACAGGTTGCTATAGAAAAGGGCCTTTCGCCCAGGTGTGGTGGTACACACCTACAATCCCAACACTCAGGAGGCTGAGGCAGGAGGACCTTGAGTTTAAGGCCAGCCTGGTCTATGTAGCAAGACCCTGTCTCAAGTGAAAGAAAAAACAAAGGGCTTTTTCTCCTATAAGTAGGATGAGAATAAAAAATACTCTTCTCTAAGATGTGATAAATCTTTAATGAAAACAAATTGACCTCCACCAAGAATCATCATTTATGCTTCAAACCCCAGCCCGAGGGCTGGGCTGGGGAACTCAGGGAATGACTGGCCATCATCGCTCAGCAGGAATCATCCCACGCTTGAGCCCACACCTCATGTCCTCGTCTTAGTACTCAGAATCCGCTAGCAGAAGCGGTTCATGGTTGCCTTGGCAACCCAAGGATTTAAGACTCTGAGGAAAGTACAAGGCAGAATCACTTGTTGGATTCTGAAAACACCTTCTGCTTCCAACTGCATTTGCAACACCCAGCCCCTAGGCTCAGGAGCACCCTACTGTCTAGCAGCGGGTCACCTCATGAGACACAGAGGCCCCAGGCCGTCATCGTGGATGAATTGTGGGCACGCACAGGTGTCCTGGGACAGTGGGGGCTGTAAGGGTCTGTGCACCCCAGGACGGCCCCGAGGCCCTTCACTCAGTGGAGACTGCTGCTTCTCAGGTTTTGGTGGAGCGGGTGAAAGACTGTGAACAAAGTAAGGAGCAGACAGGACGTCACAGTCCATGCCCTCTGCCCCGGGTCCCTCTCCACAGGGACGGCTAGCAGGAGAACAATCAACTTTTCCATCTGCCCAGAAACATCCCTCTGATTTGGTTCAGCTCTGTGCCAAAGGCTGGGGGCTGCCCCCAGGAACTCTGTCCACCGAGAAGATATGTGTGATGGTCACGACAGTGGGCAGTGCCCCTGGAGCTGGTACCTAGAGCCCAGGGCTGCTGCCCAGCATCCCAGTGTCCAGGACACCCCCCCGGAGTACAGCCCTGCAGGGGGCCAAGAAGCCCTGAGTTAAACCCACTTGCACTGAACATGCTTCAGCCTGGGCCTGGGCTCAGGCAAGGACACAGGCAGCAAAGGGTGGAGGCGGAACAAGTAAGCACCGCCCATGGAAACGAGCTCTTCTAAACTGGAGGAGAGGTGCTGTCTGCTGGATACAGAGTTTCAGGGGAGCAGGACAAGACACTGCTTAAGGGATACAGTTTCTCTTTGGGAGATGCTGAAGTTCCAACCAACAGGAATGCATTTGGCGCCAGTGAACTGTATGAACTGTACACCTAAAAATGCTTAGGCACATGCCTAAACTCTCAGCTACTTTTTTTTTTTTTTTTTTTTTTTTGGTTTTTCTCCAGTACCGGGAACCGAACTCACGACCTTGCGCTTGCCAGGCAGGCGCTTTTGCCGCTGAGCTAAGTCCCCAGCCCCTCTCAGCTACTTTTTTGTTTGTTTGTGACAGGGTCTCGCTATGCAGTTCAGCTCGCCTTGAGCTCACTTTGTAGCCCAGGCTGGCCTGGAACTCCCAACGATCCTCCTGCCTCAGCCTCCCAAGTGCTGGGATTACAGATGTGTGCCACCACGCCTGGCTCATCTCAGCTACTTTGCAGCTGATGCAAGAGGACTCAAAGTTCAAGGCCAGCCTGGGCAATTTATTGAGACCCCGTCTCAAAATAAAAAGGACTTGGGCTGTGTCTCAGTGGTAGAGCACCCATGGGTTCAAACCGTGTAACTGAAAAACAAAAAAGGTTTATGACAGTTCCGTTTCTGTTCTGTATACTTTGCTACAATGAGAAAAACCCCACGTATCAGGTCTGCCTTGGTTCCCAGGCTTGGGGCCCTCAGGGGAGCCTTCCCACCTCATCCCCAGCTCTTCAGCCACCTCAGCCATGGAGAGGAGAAGCCACAGGGTCCTGCGCTCACCTGCTGCCCATCCTGCCCCAGGAAGCCTTCCAGGTGGGAGGAGCCAGGCCCCCCAGGCCAGCACACTGGTGACATTTTTCAGGAGCAGCACCTCATATTCAGTAAACATTTCATTTCCTATCTGCTGCTCTGGGGACAGAGACTGAACCATCCTGCAGGCTGTGGGAACCACCTCCCACAGGCTGGGTTGGGGGCCTCAAAACAGTAAAAAAAAAAAAAAAAAACAAACAGCATAGTGAACCCTCCAAGGGATGGCAGGGGAGAAGGTCACTCTGCGGAGCAGGGCCCAGTTGGGCTGTGAGACCCTCATAGCAGATATGCCACATGTGTCCGTGCTGTAAGGTCCTTCACAGCCGCAACACCCCAGCCTGAGCCCACGGACAGCACTCGGGGTCTGCAGCTGCCAGCCTCTCTGGCGACCACCGCGTGCTCGTCAGTTCCACAGGAGAGAGGACACCAAATCCACACCCCACACAGGGCCAAAGAGCCCCCACTGTCTCCTCACTGCCCCACTCACAGCCCTGCCCACCCTCTTGGCTTCAGGGGAGCCCCATCCCGGGCAGCCCCATGTCTAGGGCACCAGTCCTGATGGGCACGGACAGGCGGGGGCTTCAAAACCGCAGCCGCCCTGGTCTTTGAGATGCGTTATTTGCTTCCCTGCGGTCACAGCAATTCCTGTGAAAGGGAGGGGCCAAGGGAAGCCAGTGTGAGACTGGAAAGGCCCGCTGCCCCACAGCCTCCGGGCCACCAGGGAGCCCTGGGGCTGAAGCCTGCTCTTCACAAATGAAGGGCTTACTTGAGTCTCGGCTGCTGAACGGCCACCCAGGCGTGGGAAGGAACGCGGGCAGCGGAGAGCCGGCCCGGCTGTCGTCCTCCACCTGCTGTGTGATGTGCCGGACAGTCTCTTTGTTCTTGCGGTTCTTCCTCCGGCCCGTAGGCTGCCAGCTGTCCCCAGCACCCTGCTCTGCGAACGAGCTCTGTACTGCACCGTCCTTGGCAGAGGGCAGCTCACTCCCTCCATAGTGAGAGGGCGAGATCTGCTCCTCCTTGATACGCAGAGGCCCATAGCCCACATCTCCAGGCCACAGGGCCTGCGAGGAGATGTCCTCAGGGCCATCGGCCTTGGGCTCCGGATCCTCCTTCCCGTAACTGCTCCCGCCTTCATGGCAGCTGGCAATGGCTGAGTCTCCAGAGGAGTTGGCTGGGCTCGTCCGCCGAGCCAGCCACGGGGAGATGCTCCTCCCCGCCATCACGGCCGAGATCAGGGCCTCCGTGCTGCTGCTGGATGGGGCGCCAATCTCGAACTCTGAGAGCTCATCTGAGGTGTCTGACTTGATGCTGATGTCCAGCGCGGCCTTGATGAAGTCGTGGCAGGCCTGCACGATGTCCGTCATCTGCAGGAAGCTGGCGGCGGACATCACCTCGATGACATTCCTGCTCGTGAGGGCCAGGTGGGCAGAGTACATGAAGTCGATGATGGCCTTGAAGCCCTGGGCTGTGACAATGTCCAGGTGGGTGACTGTGGCCTGGTCAGATGTCTTCTGCACCTGGCAGTAGAGCGTCTTGAAGTAGCGGCTGCTCCCAAGCAGGACGTTCTTGTGCGCCTTGAAGACCTTGCCCTCCACGACAACACAGACGTCGCACAGGACCCCGTGCTGCCTCTGCTCATTGAGCTCACGAAGCAGGTGCCGGTAGTGGGACGTGATTTCCATATCTTCCTTTCGGTTGTTCATCTGGAAGTCTTGGTGTGGCCTCTCCTACAGACCCTGTGGGGAACAAGGAAAGGGTTACCCACATGTGCCACATGGACAGGTGGCAGCTGCAGAGCATGGTAGGGTGGGGCAGCCACGTCTTTGCAGCATGCACAGTGGTGCAGGGCAGGGGCCGTGGGGACAGCTTGGAGCTGGGCACAGAGGTTGTGGCTGGGGCCACTGCTGGTGGTAGGAGCCAGCCACACAAGCCGGAGGGCAGGGGGGTAAGGAAGCACGGTGCCCTCACCGGCACAGGGCCACAACAGTGGGCAGACACCAGCCCTGTCCCAGATGAACCAAAGCTCCAGGTTCATAATGGACGTGGGGTTCTGAGCAGAATTACACACACGGCAACTAACACATCCCAGAAATAATAACTCACCCATCAGTAAATTGAAGCAACTTCCTTGCCCAAACTGAACATCGAGGTTAAACAATCCAAGTGTGGCCCTCATCCCTCAAACTTGAAGAATTATTCTTAAAAATATATAAATAAGTAAAACTTCCTACACACAGGCACAAGGGAGAGTAACAAGACCTGAAATCGGACGTCTACAGCCTGGCCCCTAAAAACTCCCAAACCTCTGAGCTCCCGGCACGTGCACAGGATGCACTTCTAGCCCATGGTTGCTGCCCAGCACCGGGGTGGGGCCTGGGAGGTTCCTGGGCCCAGGGGACACATCTGAAGTGGAGAGATCCTCCTGGTCACTCCCTCACCATAGACGTCCTGCTCAAGAGCCAAGGGGAAATTTGCCATCCGCAGCTCAGCGGCCAAAGTTCAAAACTGAGGCCAGCCCTCCCCTGACCTCAGGGACAGCCAGCAGCCTCTGGGCGCCGCAGCTTCCAGAAGCTTCGCCTGTCTCTGCCTCCGTCCTCACTCAGTGCTCTCCCTGTGGGTCTGCGTCGGCCGGTTTTTACATGGACACCAGTCACTCTGCAGTCCAGGGCTCACCTAACACCTCCTCTTCACTAACTACATCTGCGACAACCTTACTTCCAAACGAGGCCATATACTGAGGCCCTAGGAGTTCACACTTTAATACGTGAATTCCTGAGAGACACATCCAACCCCAAATCCACCTGAGAAGGGCACAGACATTACAGTGTGCTCTTTCTCCCTTAAACACGCCATGTTCCGAACTGATCTCGGTCAACTGGTAGCACTCAGCTGAAATGTCACTGTGCTTAACAGAAAGACAGCAAGCTGGCTGAACACAGAGACTGAGTCCTTCCAGGGGCCCCCCAATCCGCCCACGCAGCCCTCTGGGCCAGACAGGGTGCGAGTTTTACTCCTCCTCTTCCTCCTGACTTACTGAAAGTGCTGCAGCACACATCCTTCCTCTTGGTCACCTGAGAAATGACCTGTGGAGTGCAGGGACTGCTAATTCACAGGTGGGGACAATGAGGCAGCAAAGAGGTTTTACTTCCTCTCCTCAGATGCTAGAGGTGCTGGCCACCATCCCCCTTCCCTGGCCTTCTTGCAGCTGCTAGGGACACCAGCACCACCTCGCCTGCACCTCTTGCTCGCTCTCCTCCAGCGACTCCTGAGGCCAGCACCTGGAGACGCCCCCAGCCTGTCCTCCTCCAGCCAGCACGACCTGCAGCAGCACTGTCTGGACCTGCGACTGGAACCTTTCAGAGCCTTCAGTGGTGCAAACGCCCGCTGTGGCACTTGGTCCAGGCAGTTGGGCTGCAGCTAAGAGCAGATAACCACCAACCTGAGTATCAGCAAAACAAAGAAGCATAAACCTGAGGCATATGCAGGTAAACTGATGCACCGTTATGTCAAGTGAAACAATCAGACACGAAAGTTTAAATATCGCATGGTTGAGAAACCCAAAATATAAATAAAAAGCAAAATAAAGGATAGATAATAAGAAGCAGGGAGAACTTTTTCAAATGGGCAGGGGAGCTGGAAGGAAGAGAAAAGGATTAAAGAAGAGACTCAAGGAAGAAAATGGAAACAGATGTTCAAATGGGAAGGGGATCAAGAATTGGAGGGAGCTGGGCATGGTGGCATACACCTGTGATCCCAGCACTTGGGAGGCTGAGGCAGGATGACTGTCATGAGTGTGAGGCCAGCTTCACAGTGAGTTTAAGGCTAGCTTGAACCACAAAGTGAGGCCCTGTCTCAAAAAAAGAAAAGGAAACAGAATTAAGATGTGTTCTATTCAGGTACAAACTCCCCACAATAAATGTGAGCATTACGTACTGTAAACGTGTACTAATAAAAAATACATAATAAGAAATTCTAAAAATTTTTAAAATTGTAGGCAGAAGCTATTCCTGAAGATGTGCATGTACTCACTTCAACTCTTTCAGATCCCCCTTAATGCTTCACGAGGAAACACTGAAAAAAATCAGTGTATTTTTTCTCTCTGCCACCACCGTCACCTTTCCCCCTCCTCTTCTTCCTCCCCCTGCTGCTCCCCTCCTTTTCCTTCTCCTTCAGTGCTGGGGATCAGACCCAGAGCCTTTGAACTAAGCTACTCCTCAGTCCTTTTTTTATTTTGAGGCAGCATCACATCAAGTGAATAAGCTGCCCAAGCTGGGTTCAAACTTTCTTGATCCTCTTGCCTCAGCCTCCCAAAGTGCTGGGATTGCAGGCGTGCACCATCACACCAAGTAGCACATCTTAAAATGCAAAAGAATCACAACACGTGGTGATGCACACCTGTCATCCCAGCACTCAGGAGGCTGAGACAGGAGGATTGCCAAAGGTTTGAGGCCAGCCTGGGCTACATAGTGAGGTTAAGGCCAACCTGAACTGCATATTGAGACCCTATCTCCAAAAAAACAAAAAAGGCAAAAGAACCAGAAATCTAAAGGCTAAGCGCAGACTTCACTTGCTGTACTGTGAATTTCATGTATCAATGTGGAAAACAGGGTGGGTTTGTTTCCCCTGTGAGCCTTTCAAGAGTTCCACCAGGAAGACCACATGTTCTAGTGAAAATGTACAATAATGGATGTATTTAGGCCTCCTGCTTGTCACCCCCAAAAGACACCAGCTCCAGCCAGGCTCCAGCTCAGAGCCAGGACCTGGGCACAGGGCGCCTGCAGCCTGCCGCACCCCCTGCTGGCTGGGCTGAAGAAAATCCCCTTTCACTCTGCATGGCTGAGGACCTGAGCCTCCCTCTCCAGCATCAGTTCAAACTATTTCACCACGTTCGTATTTCATCTCACTTTTTAACCTCCAACTCAACCTCTGCATTTCAGTTAGGATTAAAGATCTTATTTTAAATTTTGCTGAAAATGTAATGTAGTAAGGGAATCATTAACTCAAAGTGGAAGCAAGACACTCTCATCTCTAAGACCCAACCGTTATGATTCCAGTGCCCGTGGACAAGCAGCAGCCCACCAGGACCTGGAGGAGGCCAAGTTTAACTCCGTGAGTCTAAAACCTCTCTTCATGACTGTGGTGACATTTTTAATGGCCAAACATTTCGAACACACATGGCACAAGGAAGACACATCACCAGCTCACACGGACAGGTGCTCACCCCCATCAGCAAGACACGGATGAAAGCTCCAGCTGTAATCCAGCACTTGGGAGGCAGACACAGGAGAATCATTTCCAGTTCAAGGTCAGCCTGAACCACCCAGAGAGACCCTGTCTCAAAAATAAAACAAAAGCCACGATGAGGGCCACTGCTCACCTACCAGAGGGGCCCCAGTCACAACAGACGTAGGTGACTGGAGCCCCACACACTGCTGGGGGTGCAAAGTGGGCCGGCTGCTCTGGAACGCAGTTCAGCGCTATCTTCAATGGTTAACCCAACCAGTCAGGTGGGGTGGCCCACACCTGTAACCCCAGCACTCTGGCAGGAAGAGTGTAAGTCTGAGCCCAGCTTGGGCAACTCAGCAACCTGGTGACACCCCGTCTCAAAAGGAAAAAAGGATGGAGAACAATGCAGAGGCCTGAGTTCAACCCCCAGTACCGCAACAGAAAGGTCGGCCAACCACCACAGGAGCTTAGGTGCCTACCCAAGAGAAGCAAACACATCTGACCAAAACACCCCAAAAAGGATGCACAAGCACCATGCCAGCTTCGTGCATCAGACGGAAAGCAATCCCAACATGAGGGTACTGCTCGGCAAGAGAAGGGGTCCTGGGCTCCAGCCCAGCCTCCACGCTCTAACCACCTTCCTGCACGGTTCTCCCTCCCCGCCAGAGCCCAGGCTGATCGCCACATAAATATGCCGCACCGGACCACACAGAACTCAAAGAAATAGACTTGTCCGCGGAGACCGGCGGTCAGCAGCTGCCTAGGGCTGGCTGGCTGGAGGGAGGGAAGACAGGGCCATCGACACCACAGTGAAGGTCTGGGTGATAGGAGGTGACCTTATCAAATGAGATTCTTTACACAAGTGCAGTTTGCCAAGTCACACTTCTACAGATGAGTTTATTTTTACAAAAACACTCTTCCTCTGCTATAATCCTCTGTTCATCTACCCAAGGAATCTATCGCCACTGTTACAAGTTGAACTGTACCCTCCAAATCTCATGCTGACATCCTCATCACCTTTGAAAATGGGTCACTGCAGCTGTAATTAGTAAACACAGGGTGCTGGGGTGGGCCAACCCAGTACAGTTGGTCCCCTTATGAAAGGGCAGGTGGGGCCAGGATGTCACCAGGGCCCAGGAGTCCCTTCAGAGAGGGACGCGGCCTCTGGGACCAAGGAAGCAGAAACGCGAAGGACTTGGCTGTGGCAGCTCCAGGGCACTGAAGCACCCTCCTGTCCAGCAAGCGCGCCACCTCCAGAAGCCAACAACCATGGCACAAAGACAAGAGGCTGCTCTGTCACCCTCACCAGAACAGCCCCTCCACCCGCCTGCCCCCACCTGCCCAGCCTCCACCTAGCATGGTAAGTCCCACAACAGCAGCCAGAAACTCCTGGAATGACTTAGTCCTCACTACATACTGAGGTGTTTGGACAGTTTATTATCTTCTGAAAGACTCCAGGTGAATCAAGGGGACATTCAATAAACTAAATTCTACATAGATCATATTATTG